TACTCCCGCACTTCCACAATTCGGACTCTGCCCCTCACTTTTTGGACTGCCAACTTCTTCATTACTTCTGTACATAATACACTATTTTCTCCTATCTGGCACCTCACTTCATCTCTTACCGCACGGACCCGAGCCTGAATATCGTAGAGGCAAGGATATTCCTTATTAACTTAAGCCACAGCGATAACCTAGCCGCTGGTACACATGCCATAGTGCCATGATGTGGGATAAAGGTAGCATGCATCATGTCAGCGACAAACTACCGTTTAGCTAACAACTGGGCTGCCAGTATGGTAAATTATAACACAAATTTATACTATCGTCTGCCTGTCGGCAGCATATGCATACTACGCGGTTATCCCGCACGACCACGACCTCCATGGTGCAGCGGGCGGGCGTATTTCAGCAGGTTGCAATTTACGGCAAGACTGTCTTGTAGGGCCGTCTAAATATCTATTCCCCCCTCCCGCCGAACTGTCTTATGGAAGTGTTGGTTAAACATTTAATTTTTGGTTAACGAGTGCAAATAAATATGTAATTGTGTCGAGGGTAGCCAAAAATATTAAATTTAAGCCACATATAGTTGTTTTAATAGGCGAAATGGAATCAACGCCACCAACATAAACTCTTGAGGCTCAGGCAACTGATGCCTACCGTATATTGGCGGTATTTGACGGAAAAAAGGAAATTTGGGCTTACACTGGCGCAATTTAACGAAAAAATGGAAAAAACGAAAACGGCAAAAATGAAAAAAAGGTTTATGATTATAAGTTAACGGCACGTAGGAGCTCCAAAGGCAGTCCAGCAACAGTCGCTTATGTAGGCCCACTCAGTAATCCCCACTCCCAGCATGTTTTCCTTCGAAAACGGTGCGTATAGGGCTTTATGGGTGGGGAATTAGGACGCGCAGTAAAATATACTTAAAAAATGCTAACTGCATTTTATTTTACTATATTTCGAAGTGTTGTTGATGTATATATCTGTAGATTTTCCTATTCGGCATTATCGTTCAACTA